GATTGTAATATTAACGTCGATAAGACAAAAGTTAATATTGTTTGCACAGTGTCTTTAGAATAACACTGATGTACTATCTTTGTTTGTTTGTTGTTGATGCATTCTGTAAATATCAAAATCATTTGTATATGAGAGAGACTTTGCATGTGTTTAAACAGTGCTGAAAGAAAGCAATAGACAATTTGGAGAGAAAGAATTAGGTGTTCCATGGAGTGTGAGAGCGAACTGAGAGATATAGAAAGCGTGCAGGTAACATGTGCATTCTATGTTCCTATCTCTGCGTAAATGTACCTTTAGAATACATACATGTGAACGTTTGTGAGTATAAATGTGTTTTGTGAGATTAATGTGTCAGTGAGTCCATACTTTATGAAACAGACTAATAACAGACAAGTATACGAGTTGATGAATTCGAACAAATCAACACATTGAGACGGAGACAGACAACAAAGAGATCGACACAGACTGACAGACAGTAATATACCGCGTACCGACTCAAATCAGTAAACATTCCAATGTTAAATGATTTTCATTTATGAGAATGGATGGAGATGCCTGCTTGTCTTTTCCGTATCCTTATCACTTCTTGGTTATGCGATTTTTGTTATTTTTCAGCTTTTTTTCCCTTTTTCTATTTTTCCTACATAGTGACTTTGAACTCGTTTCTCAACAATTGTTTCTGTATCTTCTCCGTGTCTAAGGACTACCTCATTGCGATTGTTTGTTTACGTAGTTTTTATTCTGTGTATTTTCTTTGTTTCCGTCGTTTATTTGTTTCCCTGTGTGACAAAAGAAGCGACCTGATCTTGAGGTACAACACTACTCACTCAGAATGTGTTCGAGCATGAAGATGTTCCAGAAGAAATTCGTAGGTCTAAATTAAACACGCTGATCGAAGTCGAAATACGTCAAGTGGTGGAATGCTTTGACAATGAATTTGAGACGACACATTTATTATCCATGCGAGCCTTGGTGCCTATTTGATAGTAATGTCTCTTAATCATCACACAACGAGGTGTTTAATACTTTCTTCTACTACGGACGAAACAAGATCAGAACAAGCACACCATATTGTATACGAGTGGCAAAAAAGAAGTCTGTTTCAAAATGGAGTCCTGGTTTGCCATGTATGATTAAACTTATTACTCTTCACCTGAATACTAAAACGCTTCTTCTACCGAAGTGAACATTATGCCACCGCATGTTGAAACTACGCCCTGATCCTTGTTGTTCATAAAAACGGCACTTCTCAGATGCCACTGGTTACTTCGGCGTGTGACAACACTGATGACTTCCAAGTCGCTTGGATATCATTATATGATTGTATTAATACAGGTTTGATTTAAAATCATAAATTTAAGTGGTGACTTCTCTTTCCTTTTTGCCCAGATGCGTATGTAATGTAAACAAAATGTGTTTGGGTCTTTTTTTGGTAGTGGTTTTCGCTCCTAGTGAACGAAGCACTTAATGTGGGATAATTAATTCTGCTCAACATACGGGAATAAGTCTGGTTTATTAAAATTGGAACGTTGATACTCTGTGTGCTTTTATTTACACTCGTTGCTTTTTCTGGAATCGAAACCACAGGCCGTAAATGGAGTCCACTAGATAAAATTATGCCTGATTTCACTTGTGAGACAAAAACAAAACACCCCACCCCCTCTGCCCACCGCAGTTGTTTTTTTCTTAATGAGTGAAACTAGTGTTATACCTTGAGAAGGTTGAACATTGTGAGGTGTGGCGGTTCTTGCTGGAAACATTAACAAGAACGCTTTGGGTTGAAAAAAGCAAGTTGCTTTGGCAGGACTGAACTTTCTGGCGTCCGTGGTGTACTGGTTAGCCTCCTTGCTTGTAAAGTATGTGGGTTCAAAATTCCCAAGGGGAAATTCGAATATCTTCGTTTATTCTATTGGAGTGTATCCCACACAGTATAAATTAACTAAGGGCAGGCAGGCAGGCTATGGGGGAGAAGGGAAAAGACTGGTGCAACATCTTCTAATTTGGGTGTGGGTTATACAAGACTTCCATGATTAACATGGTAAGGGAAAATTATCTTATTTTCAAAGCATCAGTTCAAGATAGATGCATTTATCAGCTTGTATAGAATAGCTACACTACACTTATGCTAAAGGCATAGTAAGGGATGGGTTTTAACCTCTTTGACCACATTTAGATTATTTTCTACTGCAGGAGAAAAAATAAATTCCTTCATTCCTTGATCATTGGGACGAGGTTTCTAAATGATTGGAGCCAACTGCGATTCAAACCAGGGCCATCTGGGCTAACAGCACACTCAATTTGATACTTTTTTCTGCATTTTATTAACTTGATTCAGATTAGGGACGTGCTGAAAAAAGCGTTGATGTATGTGGTGCAGCACCGAAAAGCTTTTCTGTGGCATGCAAAAGACATGTCTGATTCTTGTGTGGATAGAATATTTATCGAGTATCTCGGGGCTTTTTTCTGGGACGTTGCATCCCTCTCAGTCCGGGTTGATCCGGACAGGCAGGGTCGAAGCTCACCTACTAAATAATCTAAATGGTGTCAATCGGGGAGTTGAAAAAAATTATATAAAAACAAAACAGCCGAGAAGAATCTTCCAACCCATGCCAAACACACACCATCAAAACTAACTCAGTACATTATTGATTGGTTGGGTTAAGTAATAATTATCTATTAGATAAATCTTGAAAATATTTGGATCACTGAAAGAACAAAAAGTAACCTGTGAACAAATGATTATCTTTTCGTACCTCTGAAGTTCAATTCCAAAGCAGTTGTCGAAAAATGTTGAAGAAACCATGCACAATTCTTATGTAGTGAGCATGGTACCTCAGGATTTCTAAAATATTCTTTACTATTACCTGCTCAATAAAATATTATGCTCGTATGGCTGTGATTTAGTAGAAGAATCAGTATAAGTTTCATCATCATCATCATCATCATCATCATCATCATCATCATCATCATCATCATCTACAGCAGCAACACCACAGACCACTACCACCAGCAATAGGTACTTCTTTTTCGATCTTACTAAACCTTCTTTCTTCCCGTGTAGTAGAACATTATTTAGAAAGCTGTAACAACTCTGATCAGCAGCTTATGAATCGTAGAACGTATTTCGAGAGTATTTTCTGTTTCCAGTTTCCTTTTTTAGGCTGTAGAAATGTATTTAACAAACGAAATAAACAATATCAATGGTTTAAAGAAGTCAAATGGTTGATGACTTTTTTTTTCGTCTGTTTACCTCTTATGTTGTTATATCGGACATGCGCTCGTGTTATATACATTTTGTATGTATATTATATATATATACATATAACATATATATATATATATATATATATATATATATATATATATATATATATATATATATATATATAATATGTAATATGTATATATATATATATATATGCGTGTGTGTGTTTGTGTTTGTGTGTGTGTTTGTTTGCTCGTGTTTGTGTTTGTGTGTGCCTGTGCATGTGTGTGCACGTTTATGTGCGTAATATGTTTATCTGTATGTATGTGGGGGATGATGGGGGTGGGGGGGGGGGAGAGGTGGGGCAGTGTTGTCAGTGGGTGGGTTGGGGGAATCGTAGAATGGTATACATCTCTCAAGTATGAGGATATCGTATTGCCCT